GGATTCGAACTGCCAACCTTCAGGTCAGCAGTTCAGCAGCACAAGGGTTTAACCCATTGCGTCACTATAAAAATAGCCAAAAATGGGTACTGCATACTTTCAGATTGGAAGGACAACAGAGAAGAAGCAAACTCTGGCCCTTTCTAGACTGCAATATAAAATCCAGATTATCTGCTTTGAACGGAATTATATGGCAGCGTAGAGTCATCTAATCCTGCTCCCCCAATCACACAAGCACAGGTAAAGGCCAAGGCTTCCCCTTTCATTTCCGGCTCATTGGGTAGAAACCGCCTGGCGCTCCTTCCTTCAAATCGTGTGCTGTTGAGTTTGTGTCTTCCTCTCACTGGTCCTTCTCGCCCTTTCCTTTCCTCAGCCCATGGGCATCTTCTCCATCCTGGAAGAGCAGTGCGTGTTCCCCAAGGCCACCGATGCGACTTTCAAGGCTGCCCTCTACGACAACCATCTGGGCAAGTCCCCCAACTTCCTGAAGCCCAAAGGCGGCAAGGGCAAAGGGGCGGAAGCTCACTTCGAGCTGGTGCATTATGCAGGGACGGTGAGTACGAAGCATGCAGGGATGCACTCACCAGCCATTCATGGTAGAAGTTGCAATCCTGCCATCAAGGTTTTATCGCCCCCGTACCTGGTCACTGTGATTTAGCACTCTACCCAGCATTATACCTTCCAAATATGACAATGTATTTTTAATTCCCAACATTATATATGTTTGCATGAACCTGTTGTGCAGTTTTTACGGTGGACTCCGTAGAACAGAGGTTCTCAAAGCGTGCTCCGTGGAGCCCTTGCGGTTCCTTGCTTCCAGAATTTCCTGGAATGGAAACTTGGCAACTTCATCTTCCCTATTTCCCTCCCCCTGCTCACGGGGTGCTTTGATTGTGCTTTAACTGAATAGCAGAATAAAGGGGGTTGGACTGGATGACCCCTGGTGTTCCTTATCCTTTTCTTTCTCCTCCTCCTCCTCCTTTTTCTCCTCCTCCTCCTTCTCCTTTTCTTCCTCCTCCTCCTCCTCCTCCTCCTCCTCCTCCTCTTCCTCCTCCTCTTCCTCCTTTCCCCGCCTCCTCCTTTCTCCTTCTCTTTCTCCTCCTCCTTTTCTTTCTCCTCCTCCTCCTCCT